AGCCGATCAGAAACTGCAGCAGGAAACGCAAAGTGCAACAAAAACACCAGCTGACTGAGGAGGAGAGGACGATGACCACAACTAATGATAACAGCACTGACGGGTTCATACGAGTAAATAACATGCTTTCATATAACGAACAGAAGAGGGAGAAATACACTGAAATAAACACACAAGCTGCACCTGAAATGCTGCACACAGTAAAGGAGTTCAACAGCATCATGCAGGTCATTTTTAAAGCTAGCTAGCGAGGTAGCTTGAAGACGTGTATTCAAAAGGTTTTTAATACTTATTTAATACTCAAAGAAGTCGCTCTCACCTTCTAATCTCTCTGCTTCGGCGATTTAAATGTTCTCAATCGGAAGGCAGGACGTTTCAGTCGGGCAAGTTTTTTTAACCTCAACACAGCGGACGAGTCATCTGTTTCCCCTCGTCGCGCTCGGACAGGATGGCGGAAGCAGGCAGAGAAAACATGAAAGCGCGAAGGATTCTGGGAGATGAAGTCTGTGTCTGAGCGGATCTTAAAGGTGCACTGTGGAGTTTTGGTGGAGAAATGTAAAAGCTGGAGAAATGCACAGATTATGTGGTGTATGTTCGTAACTCTATACACAAACTGTCCTCAGAGGAACATTTGGTCCCTGGAACTGTTTGAAGATAGATGTCCCGCGACAGTGAAACCGTAACTCTCCTGGTAGCTTTTTAGCGCCAGACATTGTCCAGGGACTTTATTTGAATAAAGTTTGTGTATTTAGTGCAGAAAACATGAAAATTGTTTCACTTCTCCAACTTTCAAATTTCACTACCACATCCACATAGTGCACCTTTAAGGTCCCCCTGGTGGCCACGATGGAGTTGTCCACCAATTTTTTCTTCACTACTTAGCATAGAATTTTAAACATTTTTTTATAAGCTAAACTGATGATTTAACAGAAAAAAAGGAGCAAACCCCAAAGTGAAAATGTGCAAAGCATGGAAAATGATGAACAAAAAAAACTGGGGGCATTGCTGAGGCTACGTCCATGTATATGCAGACTACGGTTTTGGCGTTCACCATATTGGAAAAGTAGCATCCTACAGGGTGTAGCTAGCTACCTATAAAGAAATTATCTATTGATACCAAATTAATATTCTTTTGTAGAGATGAACTCGGATCGGTATCAGGTCTGATATTGACATAATGTACATTTCAGGTTACATTGTGGGACACTTGAAACATTCTGCATTTGTGTGGGGGATTTTTGAGACTCCATATGCCGTGGTTCAATTCACAAATAAAATGTTTTTGTCTGCAGCCAATCAGATGTCTTCTTCCTATTCAGCCAATCACAGTAGCGTAGACACGGGTATGATTTAATATGATCACTAAGCGTTACATCTGCGCATAACCAGCAAGCCCAGCTGGCCTATTCACAGATCCAAAGAGGTTTAGCAATGTATGCATGGTGGTTTTATAGGGGCAAGGGTTGTGTGAGTTTATTTTCTCACTGATAACTGTGGCAGCTTCAGACAATATCAGTAAAGAGAGATTTAAATATGTTATACCACATTATTGAAATTTGTTCACATGCAGACCCGTGGTCAGGTCACATGAGAAAGTAAAGAAGAGTCTGTCAAGACGATTTTAAAGTGTTGAAGAGAACTCTGCTCATTCCTCAGGAGCAAAGCTTTTAGGGTCGAGAGCTAAAGGAACAGACTGACTGATGAACACTCTCCCGCTCTAACCCTGAACATGAACAATCTCACTTAGTGTAAACTCTATATCAGCTTTCTAAGACACCACAGCAATGAAGACAAGTTTGTTTATTGAGGATGTAAAACTTCAGTTTGTTCACACAGCAAATAGAGAAATCTGTTCAATGTCTTCTTTACATTTACAGATTCACTTCATCCAAACAAAATGTGTGGATAAATCTCCTTTATGATTTTGACAGGATACCTCAGTGCATTTGTCCACTTACATCTGAAGGACAAAGGGCACTCCTTTGATGATGTCAAGGTGCACGTCATTCGCCAGGGCAGACCGTTGTTTTGAAAGGGGTGTTACAGAAGCCACCGATGTTAAGGTTAAAGAAACACATCCCTTAACAAAGTTGTTTGTCTGAGAAACCATGTATCACCAACCTACAATGCTTGCTATTTTAAATTATCTCTCAAAACAACTCAAGCCCCATTCCCACCTTGGACTATGTGACCCTAAGGACCCACAGACGAAGGGGTGCTAATGACTCTAGGAGAAAATAGGACGACTCAGCTAACAACTCCCCATCCTTGATCATTAGCATGTGGATTATGCACAGAGGCTTGTATTTGTAGCTCCACCTACCAGATAGTTTAGAACTGAAGAAGCCTTTTGGAGGACCAAATTTCACAATATTCTTGTTATTACAAAAATTACGTGTTAAATGTTTTTCTCTGAGAGAACTTCAGGACTCCATGATGTACCTTGTGTTGTAGTCTGCAAACCCTCCTTACCTCTATATATTTGTTTTGCCACTGACCCTCCCCTCTCCTCTTTTGTTTGACTCCCTGTGGGTGAGGTGGATGTCCTAGTTGTGCGTATGTGAATACTTTTGTTCATCACAAAGTTTAGATGTTTTTTGCTTGTGATGTTGATTTCATTTTAAATATCACGATATAGTTTGACATTTTACAAGTCCTTAAAGCTAGCTCACGTGCACACACATTAAGCTAACATGCAGGCCTGCTGGTAATACATACAGTCTAAATGTACTATGGGAGGTAGAGCATTCAGTTATCAGGCCCCTGTCCTTTGGAATCATCTACCAATCAGGGTCCAGGAGGCAGATACCCTGTATACATTTAATAGTAGGCTTAAAACTTTCATTTTTGATAGGCTTAGACTGCCGGGGGAACTTGCACCTTGAGCTCTCATCTCTGTGCATTCACATCATATTACTGCATGTCACTGTCTGTAAATCCTCACGTACCATGTGCGTTACTAACCATATCTTCCTGGTAGCTCCTGAGCTTACTTATCTCTTAGGTTACAATGGGACAATGGGAAATATAGGAAAGAAAATACTCTCCTCATTCCTCAACAAATCTTTTTTAGTGAGCATTGTACAACACCCTGCAATGAAGACAAGGAGAAAACATTTTGTTCATGTGTTTATTCAGGATGTCAAACTTCAGTTGATTCACACACATTCACTTTATCCACACAAGAGGAGATTTTCAACAAATGTATAAAGTGTTGAGAAGAGAAAATCAACATTAAAGAAAAGGTTGCTGCTCTCTCGCTTCAGACTCATGAATCAGAACAGAAACAACAGCATATAAATGTATGAAATGTATGAATACAAACAATAAACTCTGAGAGCGGAGTTAGTTCAACCCACTGTCTTCTCAATGACTTTGGCCTACTTCAGTTTACAGAACTCAGCAGATCAATGAGCTTGTTAAAACGTCACCAAATGTAAAGTATTGCTTATTACAGTTTAAAAAGTGACCCTGTTAACTGAAGACTTTTAGTAACATGGCATCTGCTGTTTGTTGCCGCAGAACCAAAGATATTGAAGTCAAAAAGTGTACTAATCATTGCCTCAATGTTTAGTGTTTTATTTAAGATGTATCCTTTAAGTATTTTAGACATTATCATTTTTAAAGAAATTAAACAAAGGCACATTAGGACTCTTATCGTCTTCAAAAACAGTTGTAACTATGACAACCACGGACGAATTTGGATGAAAGTAGTCAATTACCATAACACCTGCTAGCTTAGCTAATTTACCACCAGTATCCATACTCTCTTAATTTAGCTTAATGAAGTTGAAAAGGGATATTTGTTTATCACTCATGGATAACTCAGATTTTTAGCTAACCCTTGCTGTTTTTAATGACCAATATTCGAGTTAAATTAACTTAAAGACAACATGCAGTTTTGGCTAGTAGCTAACTCACCGGGAAATCGACTTTGATACAAAACAAAATAACCGCTCCGTGATTGCTCTATATTTCACTCTTGATCATTTTCTGCCTTTATATTCTACTTTTATCAATCTACATCTGTTGTTACTGTTGATATCACGATGGTAAATGTGCTTTTCCAGCATATTTTTCTGTCATATTTTCCAGCATAGGCTATTTTTCTCTCATATAGCCTATGACGGTAGGTGTGCCGCTCACTCGTCCATCACTGAGTGAAGAAAGGAACTTCTTATACACGACTCTGTAATCCCTAAATCCCTGAGTGAATGAAAGTTTTTGTTGTGTTTTCCTTCATCACAGTTTAATCTTATAAAAATGCATTTTATTTCCCTGAAAAACACTTTCTTTATTGGATTTACTATTTGTATTGCCTTAAAATAAGCTGGTCCAGAGTCTCCAGTGAGGCATCAATACTGCAAAAACTCAAATCTTACCAGGTATATTGATCTAACAACGTCAAAACTAACTCAATACACTGTATCTTATTTCAAGATATATAACAAAAAAAAATAAAGGTCTGAACTGCTTGTAAAAAGTGAAAAATAATGTCAATGCAAGTTAAATTTGCTTGCTGCATTAGCAACATTTGTACAGATTTAAAGCAATACTTTTTTTGGACTTGTCAGGTGATTGTGACTTTTAATAAGTGTATTGTTGACTAGAAATTACATAAAAACACTTGGTAATATGGAGAAGAATGGCAGCAGAATCCAGGGACAGATATGAATGAAGATCAGTGGGAATTAGCTGATAACTTTAACTGGTTTGACTTTTTTTCACATGACTCTCTTCTGCACAAACTTAGTTCAGGTGCTTAAGTGGATCTTTACATCCCTGGTTAGCAGGATGAAGGCGCCCTCTTGTGGTGATTTTCAGCTTTCTGCAGGAAGGCATGAAATCTTTGGCAGCTTCAGACAACATCAGTAAAGACAGATTTAAGTTTCACAGGAGTCACAACAACCTTTAACTCTGATGATGCATTCATGTCACATGGGAAAGAGAGGAAAGAAGAGATAGACAAAGTTCTGTTTTAAAAGGAGATGACAAGAAAACACTGTTCATGTTTGTTTATTCGGGATGCAAAACTTTGGTTTGTTCACACATCAGATCTGTTAAATGTCTCTTGTTAAGTGATCTCCCTTTATTCACACAGTGATGTTTGTTGGACCAAAACATGAAAATAACTGATTAAGATCAGGATATTTACAGTCTTATCACTCCTCTCAGTAACTTTATTAAACATTTGGTCTCACTTACAAATCAAAAAAACATTTGATTTTGGATTTCTGAACATAAAGTGGTAAAAAGCAAAACACATCTTGTAACAAAAAGTAGAAGTAACCTTTCTTAGAATATTTTACCTCTCAAACACACACAAAAAGTTTCATTAAACTACAAATTGATAACGATGTGGGTTGTGATGAAAAATGTCAAATAGTGACAGAGAAATGTTCTGAAAATATAATTGAAAAAACCAAGGGGTTGAAACATTTCATACACGTGTAGGAGCAGATCATGAAAATAATATGTGGTGTGTTTGTAAAGGATCTCACAGGGTGATTAATGATTACCTCTATATAAGGAACCTTTGTTACTGGTCAGGTGCTCCATCCGGGAGGGGAAACAGTTCTTTGACCGCTAAGCAGTTGCATGCAAGAGTTACAAGCTGGTATTTTTGACATGGAAATATGGAAATATGGAGCCAATGGAAGTAAAATTAAATAAGTGGCATGTGCAACAATGCAATTTGACATGGACGTTCATTCATCCGACGAGGCAGCGTTGGATGAATTAGTAAATCCAGGTGCAGCACTTCAGACAACAACAATTGTCTGTGTTGGTCACCATGTTTGTAGCAGTCTCAAGAAAAGATTGACGCAATTTTAATAGTCACTTTATTTATCTTCATTCAGCTGCATTTTTGTTTTGAGTCTGTAATGTTGTAAAGCAGCAGGGGCGGTTCCAGAGGGGATTTGGCAAAGGGTTACTTTCTGGTGAGTGTGGGGCTTAATAGAGGGCTAACGGTGGCTAAGGGAACGTCTTGAAACCCCCCAGAGGAGCTGGTAAACATAGCTGGATAGAGGGACGGTAAATTAAGCTATTCAGTCTCACAAGTACTGCACGTAATGTTTGCTTGATGAGTCCTCAGTAACAAACATGAAGACAAAATACGTTTCATTACTTTGAACACAGGCAGAATGAAATTTCTATTTTAATTTACAGAACTCAGCGTTGTCTCCAGGATAATAAAACCCGAGTCCGGCATAGAGAGGCTCAGTGAATTTGGTCCGAAATCTGTGAAGGAGAGTCATGGTATCAGTGATGTTATAGAAGGACAGAGTACCTGCACTGTGATCCAGGTACACTCCAAATCTGGAGGACAGAGGACCTGAGGCATGAGTCTTGACATTGTTGTACCAGAAGTTATAACTGCTGTTGTCACAATCTAACGCCCAAGATTTATCATTGTGCCCAAATACACATTCAATGGAGCTCTCTGCTCTGCTGATATTCTTGTATGCGACTGCAACATAAACCCCTCCTCTCCACTTCACCTCCCAGTAACAACGTCCAGTCAGACTCTCTTTACTCAGGACCTGCCAATAATCGATGAATCTGTCTGGGTGATTAGCATAAGACTGTTTTTTAAACATCAACGTTGCTTTTCTATTCCTCTTAGATAATAACAGCCATTTATGTGCTGTGTTTGGATGCAATGTGATGTCACATGAATATTTTAAGAACTCAGCTCTGGTCTTGGGCTCTGGTTCTGACAGTAAAACATCCTCTTCAGTCACTGTCTGTGAGATGTTTGTCCATTTCTCTCTCAGGACGTCCTGTAGTTTATCTCTGATTGCTGACACAGCTGCTGTCACATCCTCAAAGTACCTCAAAGAGCGGATATCAATGCTTGATGAGTGTGTAGATTCACTGAGTGGTGACAGTGAGGGGTAGTCGTGTAGAAACTGGTTGTGATCTTCTGTGTGTGAGAGCTTCTCCAGTTCAGCATCTTTCCCCTTCAGCTCAGTGATCTCCTGCTCCAGCTTCTCCTGAAGCTCTCTGACTTCACCCTCTTCAGTTTTTTGCAGGGATCTGACCTGCTGCTTCACATCAGAGCGGCTTTTCTCCATGAGACCGATCAGCTCAGTGAAGATCTTCTCACTGTGGTCCACTGCTTCATCAGCGGAGCCACTGATAGCCTCCACCTTCTGTTGAAGCAGCTTCACATCTTTCTCTCTGTCCTGGATTCTCTGCTGGATGTTTTGTCGACTCACCTTGATCTCTCTATGCCTCTTGGTCCTTTCTGCTGCAGCTGAGACTGTGTCATGACCTTTGTGTTCATCCATTAAACAGAGATAACAGATAGACTTCTTATCAGTGAGACAAAATATCTTCATCACCTCATCATGACGAGAGCAGACGTTCTCCTGGAGCTTCTTGGAGGGCTCCACCAGCTTGTGTTTTTCAAAGGCAGGGGATTCAATATGAGGCTGAAGGTGATTCTCACAGTAAGAAGCCAGACACTGCAGACAGGACTTACAGGCTTTCAGTTTCCTCCCGGTGCAGACATCGCAGGCCACATCTTCAGGTCCAGCATAGCAGTGATCAGCAGGAGCAGCTTGGAGTCCAGTCTTCTTCAGCTCCTCCACTAAATCTGCTAAAACAGTGTTTTTCCCAAGGACAGGCCTTGTTGCATAGGTCTGCCTACACTGAGGGCAACTGTAGATTGTCTTCTCATCCTCTTTATCCCAGTGGTTTTTGATACAGTTCATGCAGTAGCTGTGTCCACAGGGAACCGTCACCGGATCTTTCAGGAGATCCAGACAGATGGAACAACAAATTGCCTCTCGGTCCAGCTTAACTCCTTTCTGGGCCATTTCACCTCTTGGCAGTAAATGATTGAAAGTCACTTGCAGTGCATGTCAGCTCTTGCTGGATACACCAATCTTCAAACTGTAGATCTGTAGAGAAGGGAACAAGGAAATATTTAGTCAGAGCTTTCCACAAAAACTCATGGAGTTGTCATCCAGTAGAACAAAAAGCCAGGTAGTGAGTTCCATGGCATGGAAATCCATGAAAAAAAACAGTGTCCGTAAAAGCCATACATTTGTGGCTTCTAGCCAATTTTGAAGCCACTAGTCCTATCATACACAGATATGTATAGCTTCACATTTCAAAGAGTTTGACAACCCGGTTTTAAACAGTTAGTGAATAATTAAAAAAGGAGAATTAGGCCCCTTGTGTGTTTTAGCCAAGCGGCAACATCAGGTGTTCAAAAATGAAGGCAATGTGGAAGTGCAAAACATGCAGTTCCTTGAGTGTTTGCTTGAGGCTTGCTGCAGAAGCACAGGAAGTCACATACATTAAAAAAAACCGTTTTCACAGCATACATAAACATGTTTACAGCCTGGTTCAAAGAACAAAATAAGTCTAAATTGTTATTGTCCTCATGGGCACACACTGTGCGGGGGATGATTTTTTTTATAACGCATCCATTCTGATTTTATAAATGATATTTGGGTCAATGACGAGATGCTCATTTTTTTTGTGTAGTTAAATATTAAAGGCTTAACATTTTCAAATAAATGCACAAATTACATGCTTTCATTCTTTTTGTGATGGCCTAGTCTAATTTAGATTTATTATGAATTTTTAGAGAGTATTTGGGGTATGTAGGCTGAAATGTCTATGTGGTGTAACCGTTGAAACTTCGTACCAAAGAATTAAACTTGCTTTAAAAAAGGTTCAATTTTTATTTTATTTTTATTATCTAGGACAAGGTCTAGGACAAGGTCTAGGACAAAATGCCCTGGTATTTGTTTGTTTTGCTTCAAATTGCATATTTGTGTTCCATTTTCTTACATTTTTAAAGGTGCACTATTTAGTTTTAGTAGATAAATGTTAAAGTTGGAGAAATTTATAGATTATGTGGTATATGTCCATCATAACTCTGTACACAAACTGTCCTCAGAGAAAAATGTGGTCCCTGTGACACTGTTTGAAGTTGGTGGTGGGCTCGCAACAGTGAAAGCGTAACTCTCCTGGTAGCTTTATATCTCCAAACAGTGTTCCAGGGACCCATTTTTTACTTTGAATAAAGTTTGCGTATTCAGTTTAGAAAATATATCAGAATTGTTTCACTTCTCCAACTTTGAAATTTCACCACCAAATCTACATAGTGCACCTTTAAACATGTATGATCTAATATATGTATGTATCCTGTAATATTGGCACCAGTAGTTGCATTTTAGATGTGTCGGCTATTAGGGGCCATGTGGTAGGGTAGGTAGTATAAGCATGTCACTACCTAGAGCTTGCTTGCCAAAGTCTGGTACTATTTGGGCTGTGATGGCCATGATGTAAAGAATGTAAGATGTAAAGTGTTGCCTGTTGGTATGGTGGGCGTTGAGAGCTACCATGGAGGGGGGTGTCTCTATGACGCCAAAGTCTGTCTAGCCTTCCGGGGAAGTTGTGGACCTAATTGGACAAAAATCTGGTGAAGGGAGGGTCCCACTTGACAGTCCGGTGATGACCTGGTTCTTGCTACCCTTCGGTCTACAAGGTTGAATTGTGAATGCCAATGTGGTAGGGTGGTAAGTATAAGCGTTGTCAAAACCTGGCTAACTCACATACTGTAAACAGAGCCTGGGTCTGTTGAAGGTGGCAATGCTGTTTTGGTTGCAGGGGCAACTAGGGCCGTAGGGTAGGATAGCCAAATCATCAATAGGGCATAATTGGGGCAAGGGGTTTCTTTAATCGCTTATCCTTTCATTAGGGCACAAGTACCTTGAGTTTATTCCAAATACTGAGTAAATGAATTCCCCCTGAAGATTTTGGTCAGATGTTGTAATTTACTGAAGATATGAATTAATTAAGGATGCACCGATCCAATCCTGGTATTGGATGTCGGTCCCATCTTGACCAAGACAGCTAGATCAGGTATCAGTAAGAATTTGCCGATCTATGAGACCCATCCAAAAGGCCGATCTATTCACTTCAGTTTTATACTACTCTGTGTTTAAGGCAAACGTGCACACTACAGGTTTGCACTGGTATTCTGTACACTTTGGTAGGTGGAGCAAGCATAAAATGGAGGAAGCTATCAAAAATGTCATCAAGAAACAATGGCCTTTGACTGTAGAAGCAGCATGGTCAGTTGGTGTAACTGGTTTGCTTCAATTGGTGTAACCAGTATTTCTCGTAAAAATATAATAATATACAGGAAAATTAAGTGCAGTGGAAGTGCAAGTGGAATAAAAGTAGTCCTCTATTGCAGCGAAATAACATGTTTTTTATATCAATTTTTACATAATTTGTCAAAATTAATTAGAAAAGAGAGTGTTTTCAGCTTTGTGTCCCGCTCAGTATTGAAAAAGGGCATAACTTATAAATTTAGGGATAATCCTAATAAAATCTATTTACTTGTGCTATCTTAAAATGAAGTAATTACAATCATGAGTACACTTACATATACTCTAGATGTATAAAATATTCAATATTCTTAATTTTTCAGTGGTTACACCACTTGACATTTTTAGGTCCATTTAGTCTTAGGTTTTGAAAAAAATAGTATAAATGTAATTTTAAATAACACAAAACCAAATGAATACAAACCTCACATTTTAATGAACATGATGCATGCTTTTAAATTGTGTTTTTAAAAGATTTTTGAATTGGTCATCTGAACAACCCTTATTTGTCACTGACCCATTTATCAAAAGTTAGACGCGTAGCTGACCTCAGTAACAGGCAGTTATTGATTGTTGATAAAAGCAGACACGGTGGAAGTGGACGGAGAAAAGTTGAACGTGCGTTCCCGACTCGGTCCATAGGGATCACGGATCAACTGTGATTCATTTAGCAGACACTTTTTTCCAGGTATATTGCTGCAGTTGCTCTGCTTCATCTGTACTTTTTCTTTACCCTGAAACAGCATAGTTTACTTTTAAAAACACGTTTCCATGTTGCACTTCAACCCAAAAGACATAAAAGCCTACTACATTAATCCTTGAAGGGAAATTCAGTTTACCTTTGTTTAATTTTATAGACAAAAAAAACAAAACTTTCTTTTGTCATGATAATATTTAAAATAATCTTTTAAAATCGTAAATTGAGTTTGGTGTGAAAAATCTTATTTCTTATCTTATCTTATTATTTTTGGGCCATATCGCCAAGTCCTGTGTACTGCATTAATTTCACCATGGGAACTGACATAAAAAAGATTTAATTGAAAGAACCGAATTATTGCAATAAAGTCAAATGCACAAAAATCCAATGCACCTGTGCAAATGACAATAAGAATGTAATCTTCTCTTCAAAATTGTCAACTTTAGGTTATGAAAATAGTGCTTCCCTTCTTGATTAGATGTTCAGGGATGCAACAACTTCCTCCAAAATCGAAGAACAACTTACTATAAAGCTTGCACACTTTGTAAAATCTAAGGTCATGCTTTTTATCTAGCTCTAAAGGGGCGATATGCTGTCCAAGCCCTTGATAATACTGCACAGAAACGCTTGATAAAATGGCTGCAGGGAGCGCCTTTGCAGCTCTGAACCCTCATCAGTTCACCACATCTGCATGCTAAAGGCCCAGTTGTTGGGTCAGCAGCACATTAAGCTGCATTGAATGAGTCTTGCCCCTGCCACACACACGTAACTTATGGTAACCGATCACAAGCTGCAGCAGAGATGTAAAGTGCAGTTAACAACATTAAGTGGACTGAGGCGGAGGGGAATGAAAGCACAACAACTGTAAACAGACATTGGGTTTATTAGCATTCATGCATGCTTACAATGGACTTCAGTCGAAAAACGTACATAAGAGAATACAATAAACCAAAATAAACACATACGGTGCACTAGGATGCTGAAAGCGTGCAACGATAACAGAGAGGAAGTTTACCAGCATCACTCAGCTGCTTTCACAGCTACCTACTTAGCTCGCTCAAAACACGCATTCGGCGTTTTTAAGTAATTGTCGTGGTTCTTACCTTACAAACTCACAGCCTTGAAGGTATAAAGCATAGACTGTAAAAAATAAGGTGTCTATCGGGAGGTTTTTACATCTGGACGCCACCGACGACTCTGTTTCCTCGTCGTTGCTCGGACAGGAAGTTTAGCGCGCCGGTGTTACGCTGAGAAATGCACCCCTGCTGAGAATTGCAAGCACCTAAGCGGAAGTGTTTGAAAACGAAGTAAATATTATTTATGGGGGCGATCTGTGATGACAAAGTTATTACGTTTAGTGTCCTTATTGTCAGCCTGGTTAAATATGATCGCAAACAGTGTTTGACTCTGACTTTGAAAGTGTGTGTGGAGGAAATTTCATGGTGGGTGCAAAATACGGTAGCATGGTATTTTGATGATAGAAAAAAATCCGGCAGTGTACAAACTGTTTCAATTCAAAATAATTTCAATTTAGGTCTGCCATATTTTGAATTGTCCTGCACATGCAATTATTGGCAGGGTTGCATTTCTCTGCATAACACCGGGGAAATGAAACGCGAAGGATTCTGGGATATGAAGTTGTAGGCGAAACCAACTGATGGGAGCGGATGTCACGCCCCCCCATTATTGAAGATTCTTTTTTCCCTTTTTTGTCCCACTGACTTATAAACATCTTTATCAATTAAACAAATGCAAAAGCTTAAATAATAACAAATCACGGGTCAAAAATACACAGCGAAAAGATGAAAAAAATTGTTATTGACATAATTCAACACACATTCAAACATTATTCTTATTCCTTAGTATGTAGACACACAGACAAATGTTTATATGCTTGTCATTTTGCTTTATGCCCCTTATTATTCCAAAGAAGGGAAATTTAAATGCTACAAAATACCGTTAATTTAGAATAAAAATCAAATTCAAACCTTTTGACAATTTGAGTTTGTCCCAGTAAGGGAGAAAGTATGCAGAAGATTGTGAACATTTGTCCTAGAATAATAAAAACAGCATGATCATGATTGAGTTCCAGTTTGTTTATTCAGGATGTAAACCTTTAGTTTGTTCACACATCCCATCAATAAATCTGTTCAATGAGTTCTCTGCATCCACACAATCAGTTTGTTTCAGCACACCTCTTTTTATCTGAGAAAATAATCAATGATGTCCTCAATATTAAGATCGTCACAGTGTTCAAAAACGTCTCTGTACCTCATTATATCTACAACATTCGGTCTGACTAACTAATCACGGTCAATCTGATCAGAGGTTTCTTTACACAAAGTGTAGCAACAAAATACATCTCATAAAAAAGAGAAGTAGTTTGGATTGTTTGAACCATTTTACCCTGAAATTTAATTTTAAGTACAAAGAAATTATGAAGAAGGATTCATTAAAAAAGAAAAACAATGTTCAGGTGAACAAACGTCAGCATGAGCAGAGATAGCCTCCATGGCTAAACAGACACAGGAAGGAGCGCCACCTTAAAAAAAAAGAAAAACTCAAAACACGAATAACAGAAATTTAGATGTCAAAGTACCACCCCTAATGTTTGATTGACAGGTGATCTGTGAGCAGCAAGGGACAACGGTAAGATCTCAGCTACAAACAATAAGATTAAATATGTTTAAGAGTTTAAACACAGACTTGAAGCCTCTGTCCCTGAAATTATTTCTGTCTATTTCAGTTTACACAACTCAGCAGTCGATCCAAAAGGAAAAACAAAGAGTCCAGCATGTAGAGGCTGAGTGAATGTGGTCTGGACTCTGTGGAGGAGAGTCATGGTTTTAGAGCTGCTGTAGAAGGACAGAATACCTGCATTGTGATCCAGGTACACTCCTACTTTGGAGGACCGATGACCTGAGACAGGAGTCTTGACTTTATTGTACCAAAAGTTATAACTGTTGTTGTCGCACTCTAACACCCAAGATTTGTCATTACGTCCAAACAAACATTCATTTGAGCCCCCTGCTCTGCTGATATTCTTGTATGTGACTGCTACATAAACATCTCCTCTCCTCTCCACCTCCCAGTAACAACGTCCAGTCAGACTCTCTTTACTCAGACCTGACAGCAATCAGTGAATCTGTCTGGGTGACTAGAATAAGACTGTTCTTTAGTCATTACTGTTACTTTTCTGTTCCCATGAGATAATAACAGCTGTGTGTAAACTGTGTTTGGATCCAGTGTGATGTCACATGAATATTTTAAGAACTCAGCTCTGGTCATGTTCTCTGGTTCTGACAGTAAAACATCCACTTCAGTCACTGTCTGTGAGATGTTTGTCAATTTCTCTCTCAGGACGTCCTGTAGTTTATCTCTGACTTCTGACACAGCCGTTGTCACATCCTCAAAGTACCTCAGACAACGGATCTTGATGCTGGATGAGTGTGTAGATTTACTGAGTGGTGACAGTGAGGGGTAGTCCTGTAGAAACTGGTTGTGATCTTCTGTGTGTGAGAGCTTCTCCAGTTCAGCATCTCTCCTTTTCAGCTCAGTGATCTCCTGCTCCAGCTTCTCCTGAAGCTCTCTGACTCGACTCACTTCAGTTTGCTGCTTGGATCTGACCTGCTGCTTCACATCAGAGCGTCTTTTCTCCATGAGACGGATCAGCTCAGTGAAGATCTTCTCACTGTTCCCCACTGTTTTATCAGCTGAGCCATTGATAGCCTCCACCTCCTGTTGGAGCAGCTTCACATCTTTCTCTCCGTCCTGGATTCTCTGCTGGATGTTTTGCTGACTCACCTCAAGCTCTCTCTGCCTCTTGGTCCTTTCTGCTGCAGCTGAGACTGTGTCATGACCTTTGTGTTCATCCACAGAGCAGAGATAACAGATAGATTGCTGATCAGTGCGACAGAACATCTTCATCACCTCATCATGACGAGAGCAGACGTTCTCCTGGAGCTTCTTGGAGGGCTCCACCAGCTTGTGTTTCTTTAATGGAGGCGCTTCAAAATGAGACTCGAGATGTTTGTCACAGTAAGAAGCCAGACACTGCAGACAGGACTTACAGGCTTTCAGTTTTCTCCCAGTGCAGACATCACAGGCCACATCATCAGGTCCAGCATAGCAGTGATCAGCAGGAGCAATGAGAAGTCCAGTCTTCTTCAGCTCCTCCACTAAATCTGCTAAAACTGTGTTTTTCCCAAGGACAGGCCTCAGTGTGAAGTCCTGCCTACACTGAGGGCAGCTGTACATTCTCTTGTTGTCTTCTTTATCCCAGTGGCTTTGAATACACTTCATGCAGTAGCTGTGTCCACAGGGAACAGTAACCGGATCCTTCAGGAGATCCACACAGATCGAACAAGAAATAGTTTTCAGGTCCAACTGAATTCCTTTCTGTGCCATAACTCCTCTTGGCAATGAATTCGTTTTTTTTACAATCGTCCTTCACTTCCTTAGAACTGTAACTAGTTTGACCTCTGATCTACACAACATGTGTTTGAGCAGTGAATGTCAGCTCTGGTTGGTTACATCCATCCTCACACTGTAGATCTGAAGGAGGGAACAAAAACATGTGGTCAGTGTGCAACTGGCTGTGTTTGAGAGCAGGAAGAAGGAGGGGGGGTGTTATACATGATCACACACATCTTACTTTAATGATAAAGTCCTTAAAGCACCATGAATGTCATTTAAGGAAAAGGGTGAAATCTTGTATATTTTAGATGCATTGTTGCAACTCTGAACCTCACAGGACATGTTTCCTGTTAGCTTTGAAAGGAAAACAGGTTCTAAAATAACCAATGTTAACACTATTTAATCCTTGAGAAAAACAGTCAAGACATGACATGGGTTTCCCATCCTGAGTGTGACATCAAGGCAACATGTTTGCGGCCAGAATATGGTTTTCGGAGTTAACTGAGTGGCTTGGTTCCATCCAAAAAAAGGAGAAACAATCATAAAATGAATTTGGTAATCTGTCCTCATCAAGATTTCTTTGAAGAATAACATATTTACAAACAGACACATTAATCAATTTCTAGGAAGCAAAATGGGTAGAGGTAGTTGGTAACCTGTAACTTGTGTTAACTGGAATAAATAATTTTACATTCTCATGCCAAGCTGAAGCTCTAATCTTCACTAGACAACACATCAAAAACAGCTCAATGTCTTTTTGGAACCAGTTACCGACTGAAAAAGAAGAATGCATGACTACACCTGGTGGAGCTCCGGGTTGTTCTCTGGCAGAGCACAGGCTTGCTGACTATCAAACGTACTGTTCACAAAACTTAAATCTCTCACAACACCAAAATAACCTCCTCATGAGGATCTAGTTACCTATTTCAAACAGAGTTGAGTTGAAGGCAATAAATTTACCATAAAAAGATGAGAAAAAATCCAGAGAGTGGGTCATCCAGTAGAACAGGAAAATCGTAACTTGATCCAAAAGAATCGGACTTTGTTGAAGATCTTCAAGAAGTTTGACCTCTCCTCAGAAAGGGTTTTCAGTTCTAAATTAAATGGTAAAAGGAGCTAGAATATAAGCCTCTGTGGATCATTAGAATGCTAATGATTGTGGTCATATGGGAGTTGTTAGGTGAGTCTTCCTAGTTTTGCCAAGAGTTGTAAACTACCCCTGGATGTGTGAAATAAGTGTGAAACTGGTTGTGCTAAACCGCCCCCCCCCCCCCCCCCCAATATACTGAAACATTCAAGGAATTTGCCAGCTAGTGGCAAACATATTAAAGTAACCGCCCTGAAATACAAAAGACTTTATGACTTTACATGAGAATCTATTTGGCAACATAATATGTTTCACCTATGGGAAAAAAGAAGGAAGCAGCTGAGAAGTTGTGTTGTCTTTGTTGTAGGCCAGAGAGCATGGACGGCATGGTAGCATGTGACAATAAAAATGCAAAACTGTGTGGTTCCACCTCAGTTGTGTGGGGCTACAGCATGCATCAGCCAAAGATGGCTGCTGGGTGGGTTTCTTGCTGTTCAAAGTAGCATTTGTGTGCTTACTCACTGTTTATGTTATCTTACTTACTGTTACTGTTAACTGAACTATTCAAACTGCACACTATACACAGACAGCACCCTGTAGCAGATAACCAGACACAGATTGTTCACTTTTTGTTAAGCACAACAGCATTACAATTCATTTTTGGAGGAGGTGGGACTATAGGGGCAATACGGATATTTTTGTTGTAACATGCTGTTGGAGAGGGGAATGAAAACTAATGCCTGTGTTTT